GACTGCCTTATATAGTCTATAAACATGATTAGGAAACTTATCACTTTCAAACCCATGAGGTTGTTTGAGAAACACTTCTTCTTGAAGCTCCCCGTGCAAAAAAGCAGTCTTGACATCCATTTGATACAGAGTGAAGTTCATAAATGATGCATAATCAAGAAAGAGATGAATTTCTTCGAGTCTGGTTATAGGAGAAAATGATTCATCGTAATCTAGTCCTTCTAATTGATTAAATCCCTGAGCTACCAATTGTGCCTTATTCCTCATAACAATTCCAATGTCATCCATCTTTTTGCGAAAAACCTAGCGTGTGTCGATGATTGTTTTATTCTCAGGGCAAGGAACAAGAGTCCATACTTCATGTCATTCAAACTCATTTAATGCATCTTTCATCGCTTTAATCCAATCAACATCTTTGAGATCTTCATTGATATTCTTGGGCTCAATCAGTGACACGAAGTTGAAAAATAAACAAAAGTTGTATGTCGCTTCTCGTCGAGTACATACACCATCTAAGATATATCCAACAATTTGATCAACATGATGGCCAGGAATAGTACACAGGCTAACTACTGATGAACCAACTCCACTTGACTCCCTAGCATGTTCTTCAAGATTTCTAGGATGTGATTTAGTATTTTCAACAAAAGGATCATTTTCATTTATTTCATCAACAGCAGTTTGTTTGATTAGGTCATCTTCTTTAAAGGAGTTGGATGATGATGGAAGGAGATCAGTGTCAAAAGAGATAACTGGTTCAGTGAGCTCATAGTCTTCAGACGGATAGTGAGTGAGCTTATCTATAATGGATGCGGGATGATTAACCGGATCATTTGTATAAGAGTCATCATAAAAAATGGCATGAATTGATTCATTAATGATATGACAAATTAGGTTGAACACCATGTAGGCTTTAGACTCATTTGAGTATCCCAAAAAGAAACCTTTATCAACTTTTGCTTTAAACTTTGAGCGCTGATCCTTTTGATTTAAGATATAACATACACACCCAAAAACATGAAAGCAGGAGATATCTAGTTTTCTTCCTTTCAGCATTTCATAAGAGGAATTATTATGACGCTTAACAGTTATTAACCAGTTTTAAGTGTAGCATGTTGTGTTGAAAGGTTCTGCCCAGAAGGAGAGTGGTAGATCGGCTTCTACCACCATAGTGCGACCAGCCTCTATTAGTGTCCGATTACGACTTTCAGCAACTCCATTTTGTTGTGGAGTCTGAAAAGTTAAGAAGTTTTGAGTAATGCCTTTATCATTATAGAATTGCTCTAGAGTGGAGTTTCTAAACTTAGTACCATGATTGCTTCGGAGTTGCCTTATATTTCGATCATACAACAATTCATTTCTTTTGACAAATGAAATGATTTCATCTGTGACATGACTCTTTTTCCGAAGGAAAAACACCCAAGTAAATCTTGAGAACTCATCGAAAATCACCAGAGTGACTTTTTCCAGACCTGCACTTGACTGGAACTGGGCTAAACAAATCCATATGAAGAAGATTAAATGGATCAGTGATTGAAAAGCAATACCTTGGCTTAAAGGAGGACTTGGTTTGTTTACCTTTTACACACGCTGAGTAGAGCTTTTCCTTATGAAACTTCATCTTAGGCATTCCCTCTAACAAGTTCATCACCAAAAATCTTTGAAAGTGCTTTAAAATTAAGATGAGACAGCTTCTTGTGCCACAACCATTTCAAGTGGGCTTGAGATAAAAAAGAAGCAATGTCTGAGAGATGAATCAGAAGAGAACATATCCAACACATAGATATCATTTTTCCTGTTGGCAGTGAGAACTATTGATTTCTTTGAATCAATAATGTTTCCTTCCTTCTTGTTGAAATGAACCTCATAATTAGCATCACAAATTTGACTGATTGAGATGAAATTATTTCTGAGACCCTTGACATATAATTTTTTTTGAATTCCATGGTCTTACACTTAATCCTTCCAAAACCTTTATTTTTTCCCTTGTTGTCATCTCTGTAAGTCACTACAGGGCCATACTTTTTCACAAAATCATCCAGGAGAGACTTCAATGTTGTCATATGTCTGGAGCATCCACTATAAAGATACCAAACATGCTCCTAAACCTGCAGCGCTAAGAACACAAATTAAAACACACTGACCCATTTTTAATGGGTCTTTTCACTAATGATTTAGTATTACAAATATCATAACAAGCAGCAAGAAGAAAATTTAAGGAGATATTCTTTTTAATCCACTTGTCCTTTAGGATGCAAATATTGTCAGTTCTTTTAGTGTTTTCTCTATAAGTACAGTCACTAATTTTATGAGATGCATCTCCACATCGATAGAAAATCATTATACCATGTTTTTTGTTTTTATTACATTAATGGGTATTTTTCAGGAATTTAGGTTTCCAAGGAGATGAAATATTTTCATGAATGGATCTATCAGTGTGATAGGATGAGGAGATAGATGACTGATAAGCTGATGTGCACAAAGATTCATCAATGTCTGAAGAAATCGGGTCATCAATGTCATGAATACTAACAATACAATTTGGAGAAAAACTAAGTATTTCATGTGTGGAGTAGGATATAAAAGTTAGTTGCATGCAATTCGATGTTATCCTTTTTTGTGTGAAGGTCAACATTTGTGAGATATAGATTTTTAACATTGATGTTTGTTTGAGAAAGAAATTTCTTAGTGTCAATCAATTTATTTTTTAGTGTTTCATTATCATACCTAAGAGATTGCTTTTTTTTATTACTTTTGAAAGTTAAAGAAACAAGTAATTAAACATCATTCATTTTTTATTATCAGAATAGTTGACAAATTTGTTTACCTGATATAAAGAGGACGAATCCCAGTCCTGCATCTTTGAATCGATAGAAGCTTTAGCTAGATTGGCTCCAGAAGTGCTTAAGTTGTTACTTCCTTCATCGGTGACCAACGCATCAGTGTGTGCCATACAACACTTGTCCTTTGCTTTATCTTCATCAGACGATTCTTCATCATCCACCCAACTTTCTACTTCTTCTACCAAGATTTTAACATCAATGTTTTGCCTCTTCAGAGAGGACAACAACTACTTATACTTTAACTCATAATCTTCATTTGTGTCCGCCTTCTTGGATTTGCACTCCCTGACGAAGTGATCAGTGCTTCCACAATTGAAACACTTTGGTCCTTCTTTCTTCTCAGCAACAATTACCAGTGTCATAACCCTTAGACATTGATGAGTCAATCTTTGGACGAAACCTTCTCGGCCCAGATGGTTTCTTGTCACTTCGGCTAATGTAAGGTTTGACAATACAGGTTTCACCTTCAGATTCATCAGAGAAGTCGTTGTCACTATTTGGGGATGACTTCTTTGGGTAGTGGGCCACAAATTTATCCTTGTTGGTTTCTCACATAGTTTCCTTGCGAAAAATCTTCGTTTCATCATAATTACGAAGGTTGCCAAATAATGAAGATAGATCTATGGTATCAATCTTCTCACTGTTCTTTAGAGCATCAACATGATGTTCCCAACTATCATTCATCGAGTCAAGATACTTGAAAGCCAAAGAATTTCTTGTCACTATTCTTTAGACAACGCATATCATTCACCAAGCAGTTAAAGCGATTGAAAACTTGACTAAGACATTCGTTTTTCTGCTAAAAAAGTGTGCATACCATCGATTTAGGTTGTTCTTTTTGACAGCCTGAAGTTCATCAGTTCCTTCATATGCTACCTTCAGCATATCCATCATCTCCTTGGCAGATCTGCAATTTTAAACCAAATGGTAGATTTCATGGGGAAGAGCGTTTCCTTGGCAGCACGAGCTTTGACATCAAGAGCAACAAGACGCTTATCTTCTTCATTAAATTCATGAACATGTTTTTCGACCTTGTCATCAGCAGTTTTTTCAACCTCGTCGTCATATTTAACGTTTTCCTTCATGGATTGATACATAGGAACATGAGGACCATCTTTAAAAATATTCAACATGGAATAATCCATGGTTTCAAGAACCATCATGGCTTTTGACTTCCACATGGTGAAGTTATTCTCATCAAACAGTGATATCTTGTAACTAGAAGTGGTTTTAGAGAGATTAGATGAAGAAGAAAAGGACATTGTTAATCGATATCAGTAACCTGCTACTCTGATACTAGTTTTAGGACCCTTGATTGAGATCGATTAACAAAATAGATAAAGAACAATGGTTTATCACAAAGTTTTTCACTAAGAAATTTCTCAGAAAGAGAAAAAGCACAAAGCTAGGATTCGTGAATCAACGAATGACACGAACCCTCGATACATAGTTTTATAGTAAAGCATGATTGTTATAATCCCTACAATTCAATGATTTCACCTAATCTATGTAAATATAAAGAATATATACGATATCTCTAAGAAATCGGATCTGCTAACTAACTATGTGTATATCTATAAATACAAAGTATTACATTATCGAGATGACATTGGCTTTATAGATCAAATCTTCACGCTGGCACTGGTGAGACGTTGGCGTTGATGGAAGTCAGCGTGAATTGTTTTTTACTTCATCATGTTCTAAGGTTTAACCTACAACACTCCCTTACAAAAATGCACTACCACACTTTGTCATATGGCATGCGCCATTTCCCCCGATGCACTAGATGAGAATCTTAGGATGTCTGGACGTACTGTACGACAAAGCCTTCATAAATTTTGTAAGTATGCCATGAGATTTTATGGTCCACGATATTTGCACAAACCTACTTGTAGTGACATCCAACAATTATATGTTCCTCATTCGAATGTGCCCAGATTCCTTAGAATGTTAGGAAGCCTAGATTTCCTCCATTGGGAATGGGGCAATTGCCCGAATGCACATCAAGATCAATACTCCCGAGGTGATCATGGTTATCCAACTATCATGCTTGAAGCAATATCCTTACACGATTTGTGGATATGGCATGCATTCTTTGGTTCTGCTGCTTCCCTGAATGACATAAATGTTCTTAACATGTCTCCATAATTCGACAACATGTATAACGTGACTACACCAGATTCTTCGTTTGATGTGTGTGGAATGTCATATAGGTACAGGTATTATCTTGTAGACATGATCTATCCGGAGCGTTCTTGTTTTGTGAATTCGTTGTCTTGTCCTAATGATCGAAAAAGGTTGAAGTTTAAGATAGCTCAAGAGAAGGCGATAAAGGATGTTGAAGTAGCATTTGACGCTCTTAAAAAACTTTGGCATATACTTAAATACCCCGTAATATTTTTTAACGAGAAGAAAATGAGTGGGGTGATGTATACTTGTATCATATTGCATAATATGATTCTCGAAGATGAAGGAAATGCAATATGTGAGTATAATGAAATTGAGATCGTTCCAATGACAAAAGCATTTGAGGTTGGCAGCGATGAGTACTTGGCGAGAAGAGCAATAAATCATGATGTTGAGATCCATCATGTTTTTCGTAGAGAATTGGCGGGACATATTTGGACCGTTGACCACATCGATCTTAACGTGGAACCGTTCGATGATTAAGTCGGCAAATTTCCGATGAGGATGTCATTTAGGTCAATCTATATTTCGTATTTTAATTTCTAGGTTTCGTAATTTTAATTTTTGTGTTTTATGTTTTTAAATTCTAAGTTTTTTTAGGTTTGTTGGAATTTCCTTTCAAGTTTATTGAAAATTTTGTTCTAAAATAATTTGTTTAAATTGATTATTTTTAATAAAATTTAATTTTGGAAAAAATAAATACCATGGAAGGCGTGTAACGCTCGGTTTCATAAGTGTTGCTTCTAATCTTGTTTATGGATCTCTTTATATCCGCTCAAGTATCTGTGAATTCCCCAGCTGCTTGAAAAAATGAAGCTAGAAATAAGCAGATTGGTTGTATTTATATATGTTTGTCATTATATAATTGCACATTTTCATGAGATGCAACTTGTGTTATAGGTAATGATTGTGTGTGTAGGCTTTTATTTTAAAATTAGGATTCCGTTTAAACTATGTTTAAATTTTGACAAGGTAACACGCTTGTCCCCGAGAGTCAATAGTTGAAACAACAGTCAACAATATTAAGCGTGGTCGGTCTTCAGGATTAAAATGCCCAGGATGAGTCAGAAAAGAATCTTTAGGACCTAACGTGTAACAAATTTATTTATATAAACCAAAGTTTTATCTTTTTTAAAACGAAGGTAAAATTTATAGCAATCGGAACAATAAAAATACAAAATCATAGTATTTTAATGAGTAACGACATATCATAACAGCTAACCGATGACTCGTGAAGCTCTTCTAGCATTCGAGATAACAAATTGGTTGATTAACTCTTCGTAGTCTATACTCTCTAAGATTTCATTCTTGATAGATATCGTTGCCAAACTGCTAAGTCTTTCTTGGGTCATTGTGGAGCGTAATTAAAATTTCAAAACCTTCAATTTCAAAAAACTCTTTCTACATATGTCATCGTTACTTGAATAGTCAAAAATATTCTATATGCAATGATTGCATTTGGGAAATAAACTAGTTCTTTCAAATACTTCAAAACATCTTCATGGTTACTAAATCCATGGTTTCTAATGTATCAAATGATTTCAACTCCATATAATGTTCATCAGCATCAATATCCGATCTTTCTTCAAACTTGAGCATTTTTTCAAGAAGATGACAAGACGAATTAAGATCTTTATCTTTAAGTCCTCTAAAATTATGAGGAAACAAAAAACCAAGTTACTCTTTGAATTGTTCAAATATTGTCTCAAGGTCCTTAATTTCAATCAGAATTTATGATATTCTAAAATCTTATTCAACTTTCAACATTCAAGTTACAACAACTGATCAACAAAAATGGTAATGTGATTCAAAATTTAAGAAATTCAATATTCAACTTTCAACTTTCAGAATTTCAGATTTCTGATAAACATAATCTGATAATTTGATTTCCGATTCAACATTCAAGTTTCAACATTTGCTACTGATAATCTGATTTCGTGATTCAGAATTTTAGATTTCTGATAAACATTATAATTATTGAATACTAGTTATTTAGTGACTTTCGATTTAAGGCTGCCCACTGGACAAAAACCTAATTTTTGATTCAAGGCTGCTAAACTCGAAGTCTTGAAAAAGAAGAAAAGTAGAAAACTTTTACCTCTTTGATTCCAGTATTTAGAAGACCCAACTAGAACTAGTTTAACTGAATATCGTTTAGACGCTTCCGTCACTTCTGGTGGTGTCGTGATGGACGGGAGCCTTAGTTGATTAGTAGATCTACAATGCTTTAAGTTTTTAGGCATGTATATAATATATAAAAAAATTAAAAATTTTGGGCCCCTAAAAAAATTGGGCCTTGTGCAGTTGTCCACTTTTCCCCATTCAAATCTGACGTTGATATTAAGGTAGCTGATCATTTCAATAATACATTTGATGCAAATGTGAACACTCAAGATTTATTGATCAGAAAGAAGAAAGTTGTAGTTGAAGGTGCTTGTCCTTCTTTGGGTTTTCTGGTTTATAATTATTTTAAAAATGTTTCACCAAGTGGTTAAAGAAGTAGCTACAGTGATGATTGGGCAAAGTTTTTGATTCTTAAAAATGTTGGTGTCACCCCATGTCAATTTTGCAAAAGTTTTGAAACTGCATTAGTGTATATTGTGTATCTTGAAATTATTTTCCTTTTATCTATTTATGCAGGTTGGCATAACGGTATATTGTATCAAAAGGTGAAGTAAAGATATTAGTCAAGAAAGATGAGGCATAGACACTTGTCTATCAGTGATCCTTTACAACTAAAAGTATATAATTGTAAGACTTTGGATGGATATGGATATAACGTAAAATTCATGGATTTAAATATTATTAATTCTTATTTATTATTTAATAGTTTATCACCATACATTTATAAACAAATGATAAAAAAAATTAGGGATCTTAAGAAATAGTATGATTGAACCACATTAGGAAAACTGAACGGTTAAAATGAGTTTGGGTTAAAATTGAATTGGATGGTTGGGTAGACTAATTAATTTTTGTTAATTTTTTTAATGAGTAGATAATTCAATTATTAATATTATCATATTTTTTATTTTATTAATGTAATGATTTACTTTCTTCCGGTAAAATGATTTATGAGGTTTTAAGCATTTGAATAAAATTAATGTGACTTTTGACTCGTTCAATCACTTTTGTTATTTTTCGTTATAGTATATTTAATTTATTGCACATACTTAATCTCCATCAATAAAAGTATAATATGGATTAACCAATGGTTGAGGTTGTCATCTCTAAATTATGACTTTTCTAGATGATTGTAAGTCAACTAGACTAGATCTTTTTTAGATTAATGTTTCTGATTACATTACAAAGATTATGCAGAAGGTGCTCTTCACCTTATGCGCTCTCACATCGGCTTTCTCTCATCATGATCGGTTGAATATTTTGTTCTGCCTAACTAATAATCTGAACAGTATGCTTAAATAGCTAAATTGGTGTTATTAATGGTAAAAAAATATATAATTATTTGATCACTACAACAATAATAGACCCTTACCTTTTCTTCTTATATTCTTGGTTAGGTTGATGTTGTTGAATATCATAAGATTAATAATTAAGCATGAAATCTCTGAATTTGAGATGAAGATGATGTTACAATTTACAAGGCCTAAGAGACCTCTATATTTTCTTCTACATGGTAGGCCAATGTATGTTCAGATTGATGATTCGTTTTTCTTATTAGGTGTTGTTTTGGATAGATGATGTAAAAAAAATATTTGTGAAATATGAGTGTAGATTTGTCAATGTGATGAAAAAAGTCTGGCCCGCCATTAGGCTTATTACATAATCAGTGAGTAGCAAAGATTCTCAAAGTTTGTCAAAATAAGTGAGAAATTAAGCTAACGAATCTTAAAATAATTGTTGTTTGAAAGAAATGATAGTAAGCTGATAGGTGCAAGTACAACACAATTAATCTACCATCAGAGGAGAAGATGTTGAATACTCCGACACTACTAGAGGTGGGCAGTTGATTTAAATAAATATGCATGTGAAGAACTTTTTCAACGTACTTACATACTTTACAAAACATATCAATATGTTACCCATATTAGCAATGTACTACACTTATTTATATTAGAATGATTCTTTGTATTTGACATATTATATATTATGCTATGGATTGTTTTTGTTTGTGCATGATATTTTATTTTGTATTATGAGATATTAAATGTATAATTTAATTTGAATATTACTAAACTTAGACATAATATATGTTTTATAAAATCTGTCAAAAATCGCAACATACAAAATGTCTGTCAAGAATTTATAAAAAAACGTCAAAAATTATGACACACGATGTGTGTTGTAATTATATGACACACAAATGCATGATATCTTCATTTATGATTGAAGCTATAATGACATATTTGTGTGTCATCTGTACCTTTTAATGACACATAAATTGTGTCATTAAGTCATATTTTATAGTAGTGTTCATGTTGCTAATATATGGATGATAGCTACAAGAGAATTATGTATTATATTATCTCTTGGGTAAGGTAATTTCACATTTTCAAATGTGCAACACTTCCATATTTTTTATTCGCGGTGATGAAGTTTCCTTAAGTATAATGAGTCTCAATCTACATATGATATACTTCTTCAATCCATGACTACATGGAATGAACATATATCATTCTATTTAAATTTAGTCGGTGTTTGTGATTGTTTTTTTGAAGTGCTTATTGACTTGTTCTAGTTTGTTACTGGTAATAAGAAGTTTATAGTGTTTTGATAAAAATATTTCAAAAAAACTTATTGACTTAAATAAGGAATTTTTAATAAATCACTTCTACTTATTTATTGACTTATTGAAGGCGTTTTTGATAAGTTGTTCTATTATTACACATAAAATAAGAGTTACCCAAACACTAATAATAACTTATCAATATATTTTAATTTAATATCGGATAAGATATTCCAAACATTTTGTTGAAACTCTGTTTTGACACCGGATAAGTTAATAAACACATTTAAATATAAACATAAGTTGTTTTAAACCATCTTTCACATCATCTTTAACAAATTTAATTATTGAACATCAAGAACATACAAAACTAATTAATATAAAAAATTATTTTTGTCTATTGGACATTATCGGCGACTTTCTTACTCTTTACCGACAACTTTTGTCGCCGCTAAAGGTACATGTCGCCGCTATTGGTGTCGCCTCTAAAGGCCCATTACATGGATCTGCGTTTTCACGTTCTAGTAAACTAGAGCCGTTCGACCGTGTTTCTAATCAAACAGTTGGGGTACTCGTGGAACGCACAAAACCAATACCGGCGACACATCAAAATGTCGAATAAATGACGTAGCAATAATTCCCTCCGAAGTGTCGACGCTATTGATAAGAGTCGTCGCTAAAGCCCCTTGCGTCGCCGATAAAGGTGTCGCCGCTAAAGGTCGACGCAGTTAACCAAAAAAAATCGACGCCCTTTTCCTTTTCTGCTTGTGTTCGCTTCCATTTGCTGATGCGTTTTTTCTTTCCCTCTTCTTCGTCGATTCATAAGCATTCAGCACCATCACCGTCGAATTTAAGGAATTCCAACCACAGAGAAGAAGATATCGGCGGGCAAAGTAGAGATAGACTGGCGACTGAGGACGAATTTCCAGCAACTGAAGACTAATCTCCGGTGACGGTAGGTATTTCCAGCTTAGTTTCCTTTCCCTTTTCTCTTGGAACATCGATTTTTAGCTTATTTTAGTGATTAATTGCAAAAAATTGTCAATTTTAGTTTTTGATTTTGTTTCCCGGTTATCACCACGGGCGACTACCGCCACCACTGCACCATTTCTTTGATTTCCGCCACCATAGGTTTTATTTACTTCTATTTACTGTGAAATTCGAGTTTAATTTCAAAATATATGTAGTTGTATAAATTATGTGAAATTTGGCATATGTGTGTATATTTGATATATGTATGTGAATCTATGTAAGTTTGGTGTATATATGTCAATGTATGTATGTTTGGTGTATATGTGGTATATGAATGTGAAATTTGTGTATTTGGTATAAATAGGATGTTATTATCTATATATGTGAAAGTATGTGTATTTGGTATAAGTAGGATGTTATTATGTGTGTATGTG